GCCTCCCTCTTCCGCAACGTCATGGGTGGTACCGCAGAGCGTGCGCTCTCGGTGTTCGTCGCCCTGTCTGCTTACGGCAACGTTCTCAGCGTGATCTTCTCCCAGGGTCGTCTCGTTCAAGAACTCGGTCGCGAGGGTATCCTGCCATTCTCTCGATTCTTTGCCAGCAACAAACCCCTGAACGCTCCCTTGGCTGGTCTGTTTGAGCACTGGCTTATCTGCGTCATCACGATGCTCGCTCCTCCTCCAGGAGACGCTTACAACTTCATCCTTAACCTCATCAGCTGTAAGTTTCTTCCCTTGATCAGTTCAGTATCGTATCATGGATTAACGATAACACTCCGACAGACCCCCTTGCTGTCATCAACGTTTTCGTCGCCGGAGGCCTGGCCTACCTTTACCTTAATCGCAAGGAGTGGAACTGGAACCCTCCCATTAGCGCCAGTCTCCCTGTCGTCATCTTCTTCATGCTCAGCAACGTCTACCTCGTCATCGCCCCCTTCGTTCCTCCCGAGGAGGGCCAGAACGTCTACGAGAGCCTTCCCTACTACCTTCACTGCGTCGTCGGCATCGCCATCATTGTTGCAGGTGGTCTTTACTGGGTTGTATGGGCCAAGATCCTGCCGAAGATCGGCAAGTACGAGCTGGTGCGTGAGACTGTCGTCGATGAGATCGATGGCTGGGAAAGAAACGTCTTCTTCAAGAGACCTTTGGGAGAAACCATTACTTCTGCAAACAGGTCGACCCCCGAGCCTGAGGTGGCCAAGTAACCCCAACTTCAAAGTTGTGCTAGGTTGCCAATCTCAGTTATAATGAAGTCAGACGAGGTACTCGAGTCTGTTCACGTAATCCTTTAATCGCATCCTTCGATATACCCTAGAAGCAAGATAGAAGAATTCATAATGTTCAAAGTTGCATTTGCATCTGCTTGACGTGCTACTATGTGTATTTCAATCCATGTCCAAATGCGCCAGAGTATGTCCAAGTCCCAGGCTAATTACGGCTCATGACTGAGGTCTGCAGCACCAGCACTGCGTCAAATGTTAGTTGGGGTGCACATAACTTTGTCCACAGAGAGTTGCGACTTACGCTCACGCTTGATGCGACGCCGCCTGCACTTGTAGCGATCCAGCAGTCCGCATCATTCTGACCAGAGCCTGCCGGGCAAGGAAAGCCACCAGGCGAACCTTTAGCGTTACAGTCCTCATTGCCAGCCTGTTTGACGGTCAGCTGAAATGCCCAAGGTAATGTATTGGCTTACTTACACAGCTCACAGTTTCCTGCTGACAGGTTACTGGCGTGATTTGGGCAAATGCCGGAACTGCAAGCAGAGAAACAAAAGCGGCAATGGCTTGATCAGACTTCATGTTGACAGAAGCTATTATGTCCAGAATGATACTACTGGGATGAGGTAATTGAAAATTATCGCGGTGTTTATTGGGCACGCTGGGAACGAAGGTGGACAGGTTCTCTTATATCCTGATAAACGTAGATAGAGTTGAAATTGAAGATTGGCATTGACGTAATCAAAGCTATTCTCAGGTGGTTCATTGAGGTGTTTGCCGATCACTACAATAATCACGCGACGTTTGCTCGTCGGGGCCTTAGGCTAGTTGCGGGTTCGAGGATAGCCAAGGCCTTCAGGTCTTGGGCCTATCTAAAGCGCACACCTTAAAGATATTGTCCGGTTGCTCTACATTCTTGGATGGGGCGAGTCCGATGATGTAAAGGAATTTGATTGGGTTGAGGTAGAGAATATGCTCAGACGTCCCTTGTCAAACGCTCGAGACTGAGTCAGGTTTCCAGTTTGGCAATATAACTACCTTCCTACACAGCCGCGGCCAAGACAATGCACGAAGGTTTTAATATTAACTCGTATTTTGCGGAATAGGGTATAAGTGTCCCGATTAGCAAAGCACATGTCAAATACGGCTTTCGCCGAGGCTGGGTACAGTGGGTTGCATTCATCTTATTCTTGTAATTGGCTATAAGTTTACACCCCGAGCGCGCGAGTTTCATCATGAACAAGTGACTGTTATGCGTTCCTAAACCCAACTACATCATTGACTGCCCGGTCTCAGGAACGGACAGTGACCTTCTTCAGTGGCCAGCCGAGAATGCCCATAGACGAGCACAGCATGAAGGAGCCAACGAAGAGAACCAACGATTCGTATCGCCCCATTCCATAACCCGAGCTGACCGGCTTGGTCAAGAGACCAGCAGTGATGGGACCAGTAGCAAGGTTGCCGATGCCCTTTGTGAACGCCATCATGCTGAACACAGGTGCTGGATCGTCGGAAAGTATCGCGCCAAACTTGGCCCAGAAGACGGGGAAACCTCCGGCGAACATGCCGAAGATGAGCGCAAACACCACGAGAAGCTCCAAGGAGTGAGCGAATCCCCAAATAGTGAACGCCGAAACCGACGATACGAACGAAGAGATGAAAATGAGAATGAGGATGTTAGGCGTTCTGTCCGACAGCCAGCCGAATCCGACTTGTCCGAACACAGTCGCCAAGTTGTAAACAGCCAGAAGCAAAGCGCCCATCGTTCCGGATAGCCCAATAGCAGAAGCGTATGAGGGGAGATACAGTGAGGGGATGTAGTAGGCAAACCCCTGAAACAAGTTCGACAGAGCAAAGCAGTAGAAAAGAGGCTGCTTGAAAGAGCTCACGTCGAACATGCGCAGAGCACCGTGGTGCGAAGGCGGAAGGCGCCCCTTGATCATCGGCAGGACCGGGAGCACTAAGATGAAGACCGCAACGGCGACCGATCTCAAAGTGGTGCGGAAGCCGTACTTGGCCAATAGCACCTCAAGCAAGAACGGCAGACCGACACCACTGCATCCGGCGCCGGCAAAGAGGACGCCATAGGCAAAGCCGCGGCGGGCCACGAACCACTCGTTGAGCATACGCAGAACGGGGAAATACAGCAGCAGAAAGCCGACACCGTACATGACGCCCTGTGTGGCGATGAGACCAACGACCGAGTCGCAGAAGGACGCCCCAACAAGGGATGCAACGCAGATAGCCCAGCCGACAACAACAATGTGTCTTTGCCAGGCGTGGAAGCGGCCAACCAAGGGCACAGCAATAGGTGCTCCGAGGAAGTAGATACTTGTTGACACCGTGCCAATGACGGCGATGTTTGGGTTGCCTTCGAACTTGGGATGGGAATAATAGTAGTCTTGGAAGACTCCAAACGTCAGGGGGAAACCTGTCAATGTTAGTCAAAAGCCGGCTGACGTGTGAGCTCAAGAAATAGTACCCCAGAGAACTGCCTCGACAATGAAACTCGCAAAGAGGAATTTCCATGCCTCCGCGCCCTTGTCACTCGGCGGGAGAGTCTGGATCAAGTTGTTGCCCTCTTCATCATCGGTAGGCGGCGCAGAGCGCATTGAGCGCGCGTCAGGCGTAGGTTGCAACTCGACAGACATCTTTCTCTTACTGACCAGATGCCTCAACTTCAGGGAGAAAGATTTACGAACCAAAAGAAAAATCTCACCAACTTCATGATGTTTCCAGCTCATTAAAAGGAGTTTTGAGTTTTCCATGACTAAAGCAACAGTGTGCCCCCCAATCCGACGTCGGCCCCGCTTGCGGGGTTCTGACGTTAGACCGGTTGGATCCAAGACCCCAAGGGCGCGCAAAACACACCGCACCATACCTATCTTAGCGGCTTATCTGCAGGTCGTTTCAGTGGAACTGGGCGCTGGGAGTTACGAGGTCTAATAAGTATTAGACCTACTTACCACATAAAAACATCGTGACACACACGGGATGGGATCCGAGGTTTTCGCAATTTTTGCACGTGGGATGCCCTCGTCGGGACTGCATCCGGGATCGCATGGTAGATGTGAGCCCTGAGAAGGGAAGGTAATTGAGTGTCTAAAACAGAATTTCGGTGAGACGTTCCTCTTAGAAGTCCAAGCCCCTGGCCTGAAGAACAGTCTCTGCCCCTAATTACCTTAGTCTCAAACAGTTCCGCATTCAGCCACTGTGGGTGCTACGTGGAATACACCGTGTTATTCTCTTCAGCTTCTTCGTCTATTGCAATTGCATTAAGATGGCGTGATGTAAATACTAAACTGCGACGGGGGTTTCCCGCGTGGAGACTTTTTGCCGCCATGGACGTTGAAAGAACTTCATCCTTAGGAATGTTTTCGACAGAGCTTGATCGCTTTCTTCAATGGCGATCCGGTCGCCCAAGTATGAATTGGTCCGATAGCTTCTTTGGAACAGCGACTGAACTTGCATGAAGAGAGACGGGCTCCTCCACGGTCTGATATTCGTCAACGTTAACTCTTTGGTTAACGCAGAGGAATACTCAAACGAAATGCACAGGTTGCCATTTTTAGTCTAAACCGAACCAGCAATACGAGATTAGACTCGTTGACAATTGCGCCTCAAGAGGAATCGATGCAGATAGGATGCAAATGCGTCGAGTGGTATTTGCCAACTTAGAAGCGCCTCGGTGGCTCTTGATTCATTGACGTCAGGATATGCAGTTGATGATTATTGATTGGCTGCACCCTTTTTTCAAGATCACCGCAGGTTGCTTTCGGGGAAGACTCATTCGATGACTCTTGACGTTGCTGCCCGTAGCATTGGCGTAAGCCCTATGGAAGAGAGGCGTAGGCTTATGCAGGCTACCATGAACCTTGCTCCGCAGCGAGGAGCTTTGTGTCAGACCGCGCCCTTTCATCGGAAGAGCCCCGTAGAGTGGACTCTATCTACCACCTGCGCATCAGCAACTCCGGACCGCGAAGAGTCCGGGCTAGGACCGGAATCTTAAAAACCACCGGCCGGGGCGGCATCTGGGCCTCGGACACTTGACCTTTGTTTCACATCACGTTTTCTCGGGAAAGCGCCTCCGGTTCGACAACTCATGTATCCTTCCTGTCACAAGCCAATTGATCTTCTTTCTGAATCGTCAAGGATACTCCCATCTCACGCACCACAGCATCTGCTCCGTCTCGAATACCAATCAAGCTTCTCAAAATGACACGAACAACGCAGCTCGAAGACTTTGTTGTCAGTGATCGAGGCGGTATCGTCGAGAACCGACATGGTGTCCATGCCGCAGTGGTCGACGCCGATGGCAAGCTCATCTACGCTGTTGGCAACCCATCCCGGCTGACTCTGGCTCGATCCGCAGCAAAGCCAGCTCAAGCACTTGCCGTACTAGAAACGCCCGATTTCTCAAAATTCGGGTTCGACGAGGCCGATATTGCCTTGATGTGCGCTTCTCACAACAGCGAGGACAGGCACATCGACAGAGCCAGATCTATGTTAGAGAAAGTCGGGGCATCCGAGTCCGACCTCCGTTGCGGTGGTCACCCTTCAATCTGCCCAAACATCAACCGAAATTGGATCAAGGCCGACTTTGAGCCGACAGGGATCTATAACAACTGCTCTGGAAAGCATGCTGCCATGCTCGGCGGTGGTCATGCCATAGGTGCCAAGTTTGCCGACTATCATCTCCCCCAACATCCAATCCAACTCAAAGTGAAGAGAGTTGTGGAGGAACTGAGTGGCCTTTCTGAACAAGACGTGAAATGGGGAATTGACGGTTGCAATCTCCCTGCCCCCGGATTGCCATTGAATTCCATGGGACGCATGTTTGCGAGGTTCGCGGCAGCTGCTGACGCAATGGGCAACGACGGAACATCTCCTTCTGAGCGGACAAGGCATATGGCTCGCATTTTCAACGCAATGGCCAATCATCCCGAGATGGTCGGCGGTGAAGGACGCTTCTGCACGCTGTTGATGGAAGCTTTTGAGGGAGCCCTCATTGGAAAGGTGGGTGCAGATGGCTGCTATGGTGTTGGAATTCGGAAGTCAGAGTATACCAAACGACTTGGAGCTGAGGGAGCTGTTGGCATTGCGGTCAAGATCGAGGACGGTAGCTTGGAAATTCTATACGCAGTTGTTACCGAGATCCTTGAGCAGTTAGACATTGGTGCGCAGGAGATGCGGCAGCAGCTGGCGGCTTTCCATCATCTGAAGAGACGTAATACCATGGGGGTAGAGACAGGACGAGTTTCGCTGGCCTTCGAGGTCAGAAAGGCCTAAAGATGAAGTATGTAGGCTCTGATGTTACGCATCGTACAGCCGCAAAGAAATTTTAGATTCGTCAGATCATCAATTGATACTCTTCCGGAGTCGAAGACATCATCCTTCCATAGTATCGATTACGAGACGCGCATATCTGCAGAGCCATGGCCTTCAGGTAGGTTTTGCTACTGGGACGAACAGAGACAGTGTTAGTTACGTACGTAAGGTACGACAGAATTGACAGAATAATGTGGTCAATGTGATGCGCAGCTAGCCAGGGGTATGCGCTCAAATACTCGTTTAAATAGATGGGTTCAACTCGAGTCTGTCAAGTTACTACTGTTTCCAGCTCTAAGGAATGTTCATTCGCGTGATATCTGAGACGTTCGGAAAAGTTGCCTTGGTATTTGACAAATCGCCGATCAATAAGACACGAGGAACTGAATCATTATATGGTAATTCGAATGGAAAACTTCACGAAACTGAGAGACACAGTCAACCTTGGACTATTTACAATCCGAGAAGATTCTCACTGCCCGGTGTCCCGACTGTCAAGCCCAAAACAGGAGAAAGATCGAGGCTGATGTGTCATCGGCTCTAGCGAGCGCCACGGCCGCCAGCAGGTCGCAGGATATTTCTCTTTCCCTTCACCAGCCTCATTTACAAGAGCAACGAAGTACATGCCAAGGAATCCGGAACCCGTCGGAATATTGGACACAACTCCTTGCGGCCTACCCCACTGTTTCTCAATATCGACGCCATGCATCACGCGAAGATCTAATACAGCTAGCTGCCGTGGTGTCTATCACTGGCCCTCGTTCGTCGGAGATAGCCCTAACTGGCGCCGGGAAACTAACTGCAGGTCCACCCGTTCGGTGATGTCAGCAAGGCCGCGCCGCAATGGCGTGAATCCCGATTGGCATAGTACCCGCATCTGCCACCCAACCACTTCACCTCCTGCAGTCCGAGTCAACCTCTCCTACACTACAGCAGTCCGGATGATTCGATTCATCGTCCGCATCCATCATCGCCTCCCATGATGATGAAGCCGCTCCGGGAGATACGTCCCCGCCCGAAGCCGCTCGAGGATGCCGCCGCCGGCCCCCTGAATGCGAGCCGGGTCGCCCGACGTTCGACACGCCCACGCAAAACCCCCAGCGCGTGCGATCCCTGTCGGAGGCGGAAGATCAAGGTGTGTTCTCATCTCATCGACCCTGTGATGTAGGTTGCTGACATCCCAGGCAGTGCGATGGTGCCCTTCCGAGATGCCTCATGTGCGTCACGCGGCACGAGAGCTGCACATACACGTACAGCATCCGCCACACCGTGACTGTGGCCGAAGGTGAAGAGGTCCCGGAGCACGGTTCTCTCAATGATGTGCTCGAATCATTGAAGACAATGCCGTTTGATGAAGCATTGGACTGGCTGCGAAAGCTGCGACAAGGGGCTGGAAACTCGCCATCTCCGACCGCGCCTCCGTCCGAGGTGGAGTTGTTGAGAGGCATGCTTCCGCCGACCCCAAATATTCTTGAGTCTGAGTTGTCCATGCGGCATCATGTTGCATACCCGGCGTTACCCCCAATTTCTTTCACTCCGGCGCTGGGAAACTTGCTCAGACCGTTGGCTGTGCATCAGCATCAGCCTCTTAGGCAGGAGATGTAAGTAAGTTCCACTTCAGTCATTTCGCCCATCCAGTCCAATCAGAAGTCTCGTCTTCTCATTCTCACACCTTCACCCGTAGTTTGACTACAACCTTTTCTGGCAAAGATGCACTAACATATCGTAGATCACCGCCTAGGCAATATCCTCCGATTACTGATAGTGAAAGCAGCGTCTCGGGTGAGGAGATGTTTACCCCGGCCTCAGCCCCTACAGAGTTTGGCGACGAGTATACATCGGAACCATTGTTTGATGAGCGACTTGGAAAGGTCGACATTTCTCTCTGGACCACAGTCTCAATACCAAACGACCTCGCAGTTTGCGTGTTGTCTCATTATTTCGAAGTTGATCATCCTGTCTTTCCACTTTTCGACCAGGATTTGTTCGTGAATGATCTTGTCGAAAACAGGAAACACCTTTGCTCCTCTTTTCTCATCAACTCCTTGCTGTGTTGGGCATGCGTGAGTAGATAGCCTGTGTACCCAGTTGAGATTGGTGGTTGAATGCTCACATCGTATAGAAATCCTACACACCCATCAGCCCCGAGCCTGCAAAGTGGTCTCTTAGACTCTTCATACAAGCCCAGAAAGACCTCACCAGCCAACAATCGCAGAACACATTGACAGCAGTCTCTGGGTTACAGCTACTCGGTATTAGCGCCGTCACTTACGGAAAGAACGATCTGAGTCTGCAATTCACACGAAAGAGTGTCGAACTCAGACGGTCAATGGGACTGTTCGACGTCAAGGAAGAGGAGCATTCGGCCATGCAATGGCTGCGAGGTCATGATGTCTGGACGCGGGCCGCATCATGCACGGCTTGGGGGGTTTTCAATGGGGTCTCGTCAGTAAGCCCTGTCACCTCTGACCATTTGAAATCGTGTGCTGACAATGACGGGACTCAATAGGCTGCTGTCTTTACATTATCACACATGTGAAATTGGAACGCCCCCCTTTCTTCCGAACCCACGAGACCTGCTGGCGGCTGGACCGCTCGAGGGCCTCTACGCAAATGCCGCTCATTCGCTCCTAGTATTCAACGCTTCCAGCCTTTTATGGACCATCTGCCAAGATATACTGAGTGCTTATTATGGCTCGAAGAAAAGCCTACCACGTGGACAAGGCCGGCTGGACTTTGCGGAGGGGATCTATCTCAGACTTCTTCAATGGGCCAATAACTTGCCTCCTAAGCTTGTGAGGAATCAAGACAGCACCCACGACGTTATGATGATGCAGTAGGTCTACCCAGCCAACATCAGTTAATCACTTGCTGACAAACCTAGCATCTACTTCCACGCAATTGTGACGGACCTTTTCCGACCATTCTTGACACCGCCTGCTGGCAATCTTCGACTCAATTTGTTTTCCAGCCAGCACGCTACCCCAAAAGCGGTGTATGCTGCTTCAGTAAATCAACTCAAACGACTTTGTCTCCTATTCTGGCTTCGCTACAAGAAAGCCAGATTCTCAGGCTTATGGCAAACTGCCGTGATATACGTAGCAAACGCCATGATGCAAGAGGCGACCCAGTCAAACATCCAGAATGAGCGACCTGGAAGAGAGTGGCGCTTCTATTTAGACCTGTGTCTAGCAGGGCTTACCGACCTTTGCGTGTCGTTCTCCACATCCGGTGCAATATCCCGGGCGGTGGTGGGTATGGCGCTTCAAAACGGAACTCTGAAGCCAGCAGAAGCAAATCGCGTATTGATCGAGTTAAGACGGCTGGAGATGCCACACGAAGAGGCTCGGTTAAAGTTGAATGGAAATACTGAAGCAACCTGGGTTGTTGACCTCGATCTAGCCTTGACCGACATCGAGGCTGCGCGAGGTCAGAGTTTAGTCCAGCGGTTCGAAAAGATGATGCTTCCTAGCGAGGTTCCATACGATGATGCAGGACATAATGTAGATCTCACAACCGAAATGTCCAGTTGATGTTGGGAGTAGTGGAATGATTGGACGAGGCAGAAAAGAGGAAAGAAAAGGAAAAGAAGAAGATAGAAAAGCATAGAAAAAAGAAGAGGAAGAAAAGATCACGGCAAACCTCTCCTTAGCCGTAAAAGGAGTTTGAATGATGTGATAATGCCTTAGAGATGCCGCGGTTTAGACAAGTTAGGCTAAAACGCGTGCGACACGAGTGCTAGTGAAATTCTGTCCGAAAACGAAGAGAGTCATATCCCCGCCAAAGAAACATTCCTTTCACATTACTTTGACAGTTTCATATTCAAGGGTGTCATGAAACTAGCGCTGTGAGCAGTGATGTTGATAGGATGACAGGAATACGGACATCAACAAAAGTTCCGCAGTCCGGGCGGATGCTGAGCGGATATTCAGCCCAACCAAAGCAGCTGATATGCTAATAGTATCAACAACAAGAATGATAGTGATGGGAACAAAAAGGCCATAATGCCGACTGTTACTAGTCCTCTGCCCATGCGGCGTAAACAATCAACAGTGTCCCTTCCAAGTCCATTCTGACTCTTCCTCCAGAAGTTGCGTCTTCGGTCGCGACTTGACCGAAATCCAATCATCCTCCACGACGTACTCTTTACTCTGGCCTTCTTTTATAAGAAAGTTGAATCGCACATTCCGCCTAGGGAATTCGTTGTTCGCAAAATTGGCGCTGAAGTTTACGATTCGTTCTTTTTGAACCAATGCGGGATCGCCCTCCCCAATCTCGCTGATATCATCGTCGTCATCCAGCTTCAAATCATCCAAGTTGACGTGGTGTTCCAACTCCATGATTCTCCTCCCCAGCACGATTGTCACATCCTCGCTCCATATGTTATCGTTAGGACGATGCAATTTGTTCATGAGCTTCCATGCCGCCAGCCTCAGCTCGAAGATGCGACACTTCATGACCACGAAGGCGAGCAAGGAAGTGAACCCCAGTTCAAGGGGGTGTCTCTCGGTACAATACCCTGGCTTTCGCTTTCCAGCTGAAGCTGTTGCTGCCGCAGCTGCGGGGATCGCAAGTTCGACTATCGTTCGGAACTTTGCGAAGTGTTCGTCGTAGGCGCGTCCGTTGTTGGACCGACAGGTTAGCAACATGACCTTGCCAACCGTCCACCGCATCTCCAATAACCTGCAGATATCCCTCTCTTCGGGGCCTGCCGGAACATATATGTATCCCGTGAAGTGACGAAGTCCTTCTAACCAAGCGTCCATATCTTCTACAATGTCCTGCTGGGTCCACTCTGTTCCAGGATCGGGACCGTTTCGCCCGGGCTCCAGACGTGGTTCAGTCAAACACCGCGCGAATCGTACGACCCGTACCAGGACACAGACCAGCGATTGATGTGCTTCTGAGATGTTGCGAAAATTGTATTTCGTGGCCGGCGCGGGCTTGCCTAGGGTTGGGAAGGAATGAGGATCGGCGCCGTATAGATATGGGACAATGCTCAAATTTCGTATTGCCGGCTGGACGTGGTTCTTTATGAAATCTGATTCGCTGCGAACTTCGTTGAGGATATTTATCCCATGTCGGCAATGTTCAACGGCATCTTTGGAGTTCTTCCGAAGCAGCTCGACGCAGATGAACAGGACACAGACGAACAGTATCAAAGCCCGGTCTGTCGTTGTTCGTAACAGTCTTATAGCCTCGTTGTAATGCCACACAGCGAATGCGCTACTCTGATCATCTGCGCCACATGCAATGTCGAGACGAGAGCGCTTGGTAAAAGTCTCGTATAATGAGCTAACGGCCATGATGGCGTGCTTCGCCACGGGCTCTTGGTTCGCAACCTGGGGAACGATGGTGATCCAGAAGTGCTTATTCAGTGATCCTCCAAGGGCCGGTGCGGCTACACGTTGAAAGAACGATATGGCCCGTTTTTCAGCCGTCGTACCATTTGTCAGTGCCGACTGTCCCAAGGCAACATCCGAGATGTTCCCTTGTAGGAGCTCATCCCAAGAGTACGTCCCCTTGGGAGGCGACGTGTAGCCATCACATTTCCGGCCTGTCGTCAAGCACCGGTTACAGAAAGGGCGGCTCTCGTCGCATTTTATTCTCCTTATTCTGATAAGATAGAGTTTAGACGTTGTCCTAGGATGCGGTGCAGAGTACGACGGCGACTTACTTGCATGTTATGCAACCCGTTTTCACCTTCTGGATACCGGTTCGAGGCATGAATCAGTTACGTCGTTCTGGGTCGGCAGAAACAATAACTCATCTAGCGTGCTTGTCGAATCTCGTATTCGGCTTCGGACGATCTCGAGAGACTAAGATCAATATGATCGACGGCATGTGTCAAGTCCAGATCTGTGGGGACACGCCCTTAAGTACCGGCGGGCAGAGTTGACACGACGCTCAGACGAACGTGACAGATGATCCAGGTTTGCGTCAAAATTCAAGCTTGTTCCAATTCGAGCACGTCCATGCTGAGACTTGAGTTTTCGCGACATCAGATGCCGCGGGGCGTTTCCGATCAGGCCAATCACGATGCGTAGACGGCACTTCCCAGCCTTGAGCTGACGGTTCGTTGCCGTTATCCGTCCGCATTTGTGGGTGTCTCCGTCAAACAGGAGTGGCTGTCTTGCAGTTGAAGGTTTGATGACAACTCAAATGTTTCCTGGGGTTGACGGGCCGTCTCTCCACGACTGGAACTATTGAATGGTTGTTGCTGTTGCTACTGCAGTCCACAGTTGTCACCGGCCTATCTTGCAATAACTATAATCTACGCCACTGACCTGGTGTGTGGTTTTGTCATTTCGCAGGTTGTTGAAATGGGTTAAGCAATTCTCATGTTGGTAATTCTGTCTGCCCTTGTAGCTATGTGCAATTCCTGTCTGTTTTCCACATCTCTGATCTGTGCCATTGTTGCTTATCTTTCTCGTGACCCCACATGCCAACATGTCGTCATCATCTCTCACAGCGAATAATCCCCATGTCAATCTTGAAGAAAGCCTCTCCAGCTGAGCTCGCCATTTCAACCACGGGCTCTGTCTTCGCCGCTATCATACGGCTCTCCGAAGGCTTTTGCCCACAATGCCTTTCGTCCGTCGTCAAAATCGATTCCCATCAGTCGATCTCTGAACAAGAGAAACCGCCAAATGGAGGCAAACTTGTTAGAGTGCTCCAACTTTCGGACGGCGTCATGGAGACTGCCCAAGTTCGGAAGCATACCGAGGTATGTGATGTTGCTGATCGCCATTCCAACGTCCAAATCGCTCTGTGTGATAGCGCGGTGTCCCTCACCAAGAGTGCCGGGATAGTCGATATCTAGCAGCACACAGCATGGCTTGATGATGTGTCTTATGAACGCGGCTTCGCCTTGCTCATCTTCTCGGCTGTATTGAGCTAACCTGTTCATAGCCGTCTCCAATGGTTGACCGATATCGTGGATGAGGTCGGCAATTTTTGACATGCTGCTGTGCTCGTGAAGTGGATCGATGGCGAGCTTGAAAGACATCATGCATCGAGGAACATCGCTCGGATTCGCTGGGTCTTCCATGAGCCGTTGCAGAACGACTCTGTCTCGCTGGGTGAGGAGATCTGCCTGAGCCGCAGCGTCGGCCGCGACTAATTGGCTGATGCTGATTGCTGGATGTAAAGTCTTGGTTGACTCAATTTCGTTTTCAATGCCCTCCCAGACCAATCCAATGTCTTCGAGACGCACATTTGGGGTTATGAAACCCTTCTCTTGCGCGATCCTGAATTGGATCACGAGTTGCTTGGAGAACTCCACGACAGTCTTTTCTGGCACTTCGGGTGACAGCGGCTGCTCCAGTTGTGAGGACTCCTGCTTCAGTCTTTGCTCGTGGACTCGATTGGGTGTAGGTGTGGTGGGAGGCGTTCGTAACTGGCCTGTGATGGTGTTGTACGTAGACCTGACAGCATCGCGCCATGGCGCGCGAACAGTCGTCCTTGGAGCAGACCAAAGCTGCGGCCCTCCATCTGCAAGGTAACGCTTTAAAGCGTTGTTCGTGAAGTAGGCTGGGCCGCTGTAAGTCTGGGCCCACGATCGCTCATTGACAACGGAAGGAGTAGCCCAAGTCTTGTGGATAACAACATCGCGGATGACCAGCCCGCAATTCTTCTGCACCTCGTTACGGTAATCCGGCAGCCCGATTGAGTGAATGTCGGGGAGCATGAGGTTGGCGGTCGTTGATTCTCCCCTGGGTGCTCGGCATCCACGGTTCATCGGCATGGGTAGTATTGATCCCTCGAAGGAGGGCGGCACAATTTCCATCCAGTCTCCATCCTCCAAATTCAAGGTTGAGAAGATCTCTAGGATTTTCTTTTCGTCGATATCGTCTGCTGTGATTCTAAATGCTTCGTTGTATGCTGAGTCCCGAGCGTAAGTCGATGAAGCGAATCGGAAAATATGCCCGTAAACAGCCAGGCTGTTGTCTTCGTGAAGTCTGAAGAAGTGCGGCGAGTATAAAATGAAGACGGCAAGCGAAGGTGGTGGTACGGTCTTTCTGGCCTGGCCCTCCGAGGGATCCGTTCCCGGCTTGATTGTACACCGCTCCGGCTGGTGTCCCGGGGCTAAATACAGCCTGGCCCAGACCATGGCCATCGATACAGCGAAACTTAGCTCCATTAGGTCCTTGCTGTACTTCTCTAGAAAGGCTGCAACCTCATTCGCGAAGTCCTGCGGTATGGCGATGTTCGCTAGCTTCGGCATGAGCATTCGGAAACCTGTCCAGCTCTCAGGGGCTGTGCTAGGTAGCATGGCATAATCAGGCTGTGCGGATGCATCATTGACCAAAACAGAGCAGTTGCGGCCATTTTGGAAATCTCCTATTGACTTTGTTCTGTAAGCCGTTAAGTCATGCAGAGAGATTCGACGAAACTCGTCATGGTCATCGGGAGAAAGCTCTCGCTGTTTCACGGCGGCCAACCGCTTGAGAAATGTCATCTGGTTCGACCGAAGCATGTCGCACGGAGGAGTCACGAAATATCCTGTCCGCCTGGAACCCCCGAGTGCAAACATGGCACCGCCGTAGTCGTTGACTGTGTCATTTCTGTCTCCGGCACGAAGAAAGACTGGTGAAAAATCGGATCCGTCGATGCCAACATAGTACTCATTATGAGCGTAGGAGCTGGAGCTGACGACCGTGTAGCGACGACATGCACGGTTGAGCAAAGGAAGAATCATCAAGCTGCTGGCGTCATGATCAGCTTGAACCTGGCGCGCAACACCAGCCGGCTTTGTATCGTGTAGTCGATTGTTGCACCGCCATTTGATGCTCGTGAGCTCCATCATCCGCGGCAACTTCGTGGCAACCCTCTGCCGCTTGTTGCTTCTGCCGGCGGTAGAACTGCCGGCTCCTTCTTGATCCATCGTTTTGAAAAGGCGGAGGATGAATGCGAATCAGTTGGCAGAAGGTCCGATCATAAGGCGACGATGCAAAGCTGTAGTAAAAGGGTCAGCAAACAAAAGCTTCAGTTCAGAGATCATTGTGACACACCTTCTGATATTCTAGAAAGTGGAAGGAGTGTTCCGACTGAAAATGCTCCGGAATTGTCTAGAAAGACTCAAAGGCCGCGAAGTGAGCGCAGGAGTACTCGGGCGGCAACGACTGTCGCAGGATATGAGAGATGTAGAGTGGTGAAGCAGGCCGAAACGTAATTCGGCGGGCGCAAAGGAAAGAGGTTGGGATACAGAATGAGACTCGAGCAATATTGCTGCTGTGCAAGATCTGTGACGAGAGATCGACGGCGCGACGTTTGGTGAAGCAATCGGGAAGAGTTGAGGAGATGAGAAAGAAATAGTAGTTGGCCTGGCAGTCAGCAGTCGGTGAATGGTGAAATTCAGCCGGTCGAGGAGGGCGAACCAGGCATGAAAAGCCAGGAAGTGTTGGTAGAAAGTAAGATAGTGAGATGGAGAGGCGAATGTTTCGAATCCAAGGTAGAGTTGTGATCGCCGAGTCTTTCTCGAGAAGCAGGAAGGAGGCAGGTCGGCCCAGAGACAACTCAAAGGCAGCAGCCTGGCTGGTTGTAGAACCAAAAAAAAAAAAAAAAAAAAAAAAAGATGCCTCGCCGCGTACTGTTAAGCAAGCAAGAAAGAAAAGTTGAAATAGAGGTGCGTTGTGGAGGGTGAGACTTGAGGGTGAAATTCGAGAAGGTTGGCGGCCCAAAGTGGTCGTTGGCAAGAGATTTCTCGAGAAAGCGGGAAGGAGCGAAGGGCGGTCGTCGGTGATGGGAGTTAGTTCAGGTCCACAGAACAATCGGCTTTCAGGGAAAATGTTTGAAAAGCAGATTTTCAAATACAAAGATGCTAGCATTCAAACACAAGGGTATCTATCTAAGCACGAAGTTCTCGACCTCTTGTCCGCCAATCCTACATGCGTCAAGCCCACGATGTCGAGTCCCAAAGAAGCACATCTCAATACTGCTGTCCTCTCTCTCCAACTAAAAGAAGTCTCCCAACCTGAAGTCATCTTCATTCGTCTGCGTAGGGCTTCCCAAACACCTTTGTCCACGACTTCTCCCGCTCCTGGGAGGCGAAATCAATTCCCTTGAGTCGGTCCTGCAGGAGACAGAACCGCCATATGTAAAGGAACGCTTTCGAACACTGCAGCTTCTCGGTAGCGTGGCCGAGTTGGACAAGGTTGACTGGCGCACTTTCGTAGATTGCCCGTAGCTTGATGATTGCACCTACGAGCGACTCATCGAGCTTGCCGAGCTCATCGATGGCGACGAACAGCGTCCCCGGCCACTTGAGACCGAGGAGCTCGTAGCATGGCTTGAGGACCTGCTCCACGAACCCGTTCTCCTCTTGCTTTCCCCCTCTGCCGTACTCGTTGATCTTCTCTAGCTCCTCGTTGAGCGGCTTGAGGCCCATGTCGATGTGGTCGATCACGTTCTTCTTCGAAAGGATCTCGTTATCCACGTCGATGTATCTGAAGATGCGTGATAGCGGATGTACATGTTTATCGTCTGCCAAGTCTTCTTTGATCAGCCTCCGTAGGATCCGTCGGTCTTTGTCGCTGATGACACCTTCGGCGGCAACGGCTTCGTGCGCCGGCCTTGGAAGGATGTTGAGATCGCCGATTCCTTGCTCTTCGACACTGTCTCTGATAAGATGTATTTCTCGAGCCTGGTCGACGGCTGGGTTGTTCTCGCTCTGAGCAGCTACTGGATCTCGGTCGCCATGTCCCTGATGTGGCTCCAGACCGCCAGGTTGTGCGACCTGAGCCCCTCCGCCCTCCTCCTCTCTCTGCTCGACGGCATTGCTGCCATTCTCTCGGTCTTCGGCGGGGTTGGCGTTGGACTTCTCGACCTGATCCTTTGGTTGCACATCATTCTTCGCGGCTTTCAGAAGCTCGTTGTTCAGATGTTCGACGTTCACGCAATCCTGCCAGGGACGTCTGATGGTGGTCTTTGGCGCCGTCCAGAGATGCTCCAGTTCCCAATCATCTTTAGCTGGGTCAAGGGCAGCTTCAGGTAGATAAGGCGTAACGAACCCTACCCCAAGGTACACCACAAGACCTGACGGCGGGATGTCGGGCGAGATGTCCCGGTGCAGGTTCCTGTATGCCGAGACGGAAGTAACCCGGTTTGGTACCCAGTCTTGATGAACATGAATTCCTCGCGAGATCCACCGTTTCCCGTGGTCCGCGTGTCCAGGAGGAAAGCCGTGGCAGGACTCGTTGAGATAGTTGGGGAATCCCAAGGTGTGGATGTCGTCGAGTAGAAGGGCCGCAGTAGTCTCGTCGCTTTGGGGGACTCGAGGCCCATGAGATGCTGGCATGGGTAGTAGGGAGCCGGGCCACGAAGGCGGAACGATCTCGATCCAGTCATCGTCTTGCAGAGCCATCTCCCAGACCAAAGTCTTCACCAGCTCTTCATTGATGTCGTCCTTGTCGATGTCGAAAACCTTTTTCGTGAGCTTCCTATCCCGAGTGTACATTTCATTGACGTATCTGAAGATGTGTATGTACGCAGGAAGCCGATAATACTCATGAAAACGGAAGAAGTGAGGCGCATACAGAATGAAGGACGCAAGCGACGGCACAGGTACCTTCTTCAACAGTCGTCGATTTCGATCATAGCCCTGGTATGCTGCCAATTCTTCACCGTGATCCGGACCAGTAACCAGGCACGCCCAAACGATGCACATTGACACAGCCAAATTCAGTGTGACGAAATCGTATCCGTAACGTGCGAGAAAAGAAAAGACAGCTTCGCCTAGTTGCTTAGGAACCTGCTTGCCGCCTATCTTTGGCATCATCATTCGAAAGTACGCCCACCTCTCGGGCTTCATGTCTTCGATGAAAGCGTAGTCCAACAACAGGCTGTCATCGTTGAAAGAAGTCGGACAGGGATGACCTGCTTGGAATGCCTCGAGTTGCCTTTGGTGGAATTGGTTGATCTGATTGGCCCTCCCTTTGCCCATCTTCTGGTAATCGCCAGTTTCGGTCATCTGTATGCCGGCGCAGTGTGCTTTCACTTCTGACAACGCTTGGTAACGGAGAAGACTCATCGGTGGAATAATTTGAAACACCTTCTTCTTGCCTCCAGCAATTTTGAACTTGCCGGAGTGGAAAGTGTTGCTCGTGTCTTGCCTGCGAGCTTTCTTCGAGTGAGGGTCGGCACGCATGAAAACTGGCCCGATGCTGAAGCTGTCGATTCCCGTATAAAAGCAGTTGCCTCTGAGTTTGTGCGACGAATCGTATAGCACGCGCGCTCTATTTGTCAAGGAAAGCGTGATGAAATCGTCCGCTTCGTTGAGCGCCCAGACTCGAAAGACGTGACCATCACCCCTCTGCGGCAAGCCTCCGTAAAAGGAATCGTTGTATTTTTCGTCGTACCAACACTGGGAGGCCAGTTTCACTTCTTCTGGCAGGTGGGTGTTGTGGTGTTGTTCTTCCGGTACTCGCGACTCGGCTGAAAGGTTTGCGGGCTCGCCCGACGGTCCTTGTCTGTTGCGCCTGCCACCACCTGGAGTCGCAGATGACATGTCGAAGGAGTCGATGACTTGAGAGTAGGAAGATCTAGTCAGAGTCGGTCTGCTAAAGTGAAATTGACGAGTAAGGCCATGAAGAAGCGAAAATTGGATTGTCAGACGTACCTGAGCCAGATGACGGTGGTTGCTCTAAGGTGAGAAGGAGCGAGGAAGGGGTTCGTCAGATGGGTGAGATG